CCAACAACAACAACAAAAAAAAAAAAAAAAAAAAAAAAAAGACGACCACATTTTTCCTCTTGCCGGGATACCCCGGGCGACTTGCCAGGTTCCCCAGCCGGGCACAAAAAAACAACCTAGGTCCTGGCTCCAGAATACGATGAATATCTGGCGTTCTCTGCCCATATCCAATTCTGGGGAGCATCAGTCCGTTTCCTTTTTGTTTGTTTTCTTTCCCATGGAAATTTGGGTTTTATAATTTTATTAATATTATATTATTATTATATGAAGAAAAAAAAACGCAGGCCAGGAATCCCTCCACATCTCAACCCGGGTACTGAGGCCATTACCCAGTCAGTCCGCTTCCTGAACCCCCCGGCAAATCAACATCCTCAGATACATCATTTTTACACACTCGCGCGTCCTCCTTCCATTCGGCCGAAGGCTCCCTGATCAGCATTAACTACTCCCAGTTTTTGCAGGACGATCGACTCTCCGACTGTCATCTTGCCCGTCTCATTCACTGGTTGTTCTTCTGCCTGAGGAGAGAAAAGGAATACAGCCATTAACGGTTTTTTTTTTTTTTTTTTTTTTTTTTAAATTAATTCAAATCTCAAACTTTGAATAAATTTTCTTAAAATTTGAAAATCCCACGAAGAGGGGACGGAGTATACCACACTGATGCTCGTCCAGGGCAACGAGAACCGGTTCATCACGTGTTTGGAAAAAAAAAAAGAAAAAGAACACGAAAGCTCAGCTGTATGCGAGCTACACCCTTTATTTAATAAACACCTCTTCTACCCCAGTACTACAACCACTTTTCACAAACGGGGTGGCCCTGAACACCCATCCGATTCCAGGAGGACTCGGACTTCAGGATACGATCTGTTCATCAACAGCTATGTTCGGCCACATGGACTGAAAGTCCTACCCTACTTATTATTGAATTTGAATTTTGAAATTTGAATGCAATATATATATATCGTCATATATATATATATATACTGTTTGTGACGATATATATATATATATATATATATATATATAATATATATCATGGATAATCCGCAGGAAACCAAATTATGTCAGTAACTCTGTGTTAAAAAATATATATATTATAATAATTATATAATAAATAATAAAAAATATTGTCAACAGAGCTGCCTACGGTAAACCGCAGGCAGAGAGGGAGAAGAGGATTTCAACAAACGAGGGGGGGGGGTGTGACAAACTGTTTCGTCGGAGTTTCACCGACTCGTCAGGAGGCTGAACCCTATATATCGTATATATCGCCAAACAGTACAGTTGTCTTGGCACCTCCATTCGCTTTTCCCATCTCATAGACAAAGGGCGCCAGCGGATATGAGCTTTTTTCTGAGTCCACACCCTATCTTTGTTGTGTAATGTAATATGTTGGTTCTTCTGGATATTCTGAGCGCTCCTTCCCTGAGGTTCTACGCCCATTCAACAGGGTATATTTCCTATATATATCGTCAAACAGTATATATATCGTCACAAACAGAAGTGCCCGGTAAACCGTAGGCAGAGAGAGAGAAGAGGACAACAAACGAGGGGCTGTGACAAACTGTTTCGTCGGAGTTTCACCGACAGTATATATATATTATAATATATCGTCACAAACAGAAAATATATATATTAATAATATAATAATATATATATTATAATATTATATTATATTAAATTATATATATATATTATGTACATATATCGTCAAACAGAGCTGCCTACGGTAATCTGTAGGCAGAGAGGGAGGGAGAATAGGACAACAAACGAGGGGCTGTGACAAACTGTTTCGTCGGAGTTTCACCGACTCATCAGGAGGCTGAATATATATTTCAAAGAAAGTCTGGTGTAGGATCCTCAGACTCCGTAAGAGTCCGGGGAAAAAAAAAAAAAAAAAAAAAAGAGTCAATGGAATATTATTGAACAATTGAACAATTCAGTGAATTCACCTTTTTTTTTTTTTTGCCACACATTCTCTACTGTGATATCAATCAATCAACAGATTCAACACTGATCATCTACAGCTGCAATGGTCAGTTCGATTGATTCTGAGATCCTGAATCCGGCGGACTTAGTCGCATCTGTTCTTCTTCTTTTTTTCTTTTTTTTTTACAGAAACGAAGGGTGACAGCCTTGAGATATCATCGTTGAACTGTTCCGCCCGACATAAATTCAGAATTTCAGAGATATTTTTACTCATCTAATTCCATTCGAATTCGAACTCAGGTCTCTATTCGAACGGTTAATGGGTGTGTACCAACTGAGCTATGCTAGTTGTGCCGCATCTATCCTTCACTACTATCTTGAAGGTTCTTCTATGATCTATCGATCGCTTATCACTTCTTCTTTTTTGGGTTCTTTTGTTTACTACCGTCTTCACCCGAATATAACGCCTGTTCATTATAGCTGTATTTGGCACAACTTTCAGCCCAGATACGGCGATAATTACCAGGCGTTCTATTCGAGTGAAGACGGTAGCTGCAAAGCACTGACTGACAATCACACAACACGCGCTCGTTTTTTTTGAAGCTTTCCTTAAACCACCACTACCTGCGAGCCTCTTCTTGCCGAGGCCGATATTCCCTGTGTACCGACACTCGATAATGCGAGTGAAAGGTACTGGTGGTTTGACACCAGCAAGGGAAACTCAGCGAAACAGACAATGCATCTTACACATCCTGCAGACTACATACAGAATGCAACGAGTCAGCGGGCAGGGAGATATAACAGCAAAAAAATTGCCGTCCTCTATCGCTTCCATCGGAACAAACTCCAAAGTGCTCCTTGTAATACCAGAGAATGGCAGCCAGAGGTATCGCAGCATGCCATCGGCATCTCTGGATTGAACTGGGCAACGACCGGAGAGATGACCATGGGACAAATTACGCAGGAACACGGACAGCACGCAATCCAGGAACAGAACCACCACCCCAGGACTGGATAGCGCAATGATCCAGGAACAGGATCTGGAGCAAAAAAACGGTCCGAGGAACAGCACAATGATCCAGGAACAGGATCAGGAGCGACAAAACGGTCCGAGGAACAGCACAATGATCCAGGAACAGGATCAGGAGCGACAAAACAGTCCGAGGAACAGCACAATGATCCAGGAACAGGACAGTAATCCGAGGGGCTGGAGTGGGTCGATCCAGGAACAGCACAGTATTCCAGGGCCTCGACAGGGTTGATCCAGGAACAGCACAGTATTCCAGGGCCTCAACAGGGTCGATCCAGGAACAGCGCAGAATTCCAGGGCCTCGACAGGGTTGATCCAGGAACAGCACAGGGGTACACGGAGAGCACAACGACCCAGGAACAGGACAGTAATAGAGGGGGACTGGAGTGGGTTGATCCAGGAACAAACAGCACACTGATCCAGGAACAGGACAGCAATCCAGGGACTGCATAGGGTTGATCCAGGAACAGCACGATGGTACACGAACAGCACAAGGATCCAGGAACAGGACAATAATCCAGGGACTGGACAGGGTTGATCGAGGAACAGTACAAGGATCCAGGAACAGGACAATAATCCAGGGACTCAACAGGGTTGATACAGAAACAGCACAATGATCCAGGAACAGGACAGTAATCCAGGGACTCGACAGGGTTGATCCAGGAACAAACAGCACAATGATCCAGGAACAGGACAGTAATCCGAGGACTGGATAGGATCGATGAAGATGACTTCAGTCAGGAAATGGCAGTTGACAGCTCAGGATTTGGAACCGAAGAAGGTCCAGAATTAGAACCATGAGAAGGTTCAGGATTCCGAACCGCAAAATGTTTGTGCAGATTTGGAAATCGGACGCACGAGGACAGTGCGATATCAAGTCCTCTGCGACATGGAGGAACATCCGACTTATTTCTGAAATTCACAACGACTACGTGAATTCCAGAGTTGTGTCCGAAATTCACGTCACATTCAGTGTTCTTGTCCTCGCCATCTCTCTAGCACTCCAAACAGCTGCATTAATAAACTATGCAGGCGGGGACGGGGAGTGGGGGTTCGCGGGAGGGGGGGGGGGGGGGGGGGGGGGGGGGGGGGGGGGGGGGGGGGGAGGAAGGAGGGGCAGGGAGGCGATTATCACTATTACGACGACTTTCTTGAAACACCCCCTAGATGGAGGTGCTCACATGATGTCTTTCCTGACTTGATTAGGAACGGCAGACTGCCAAACACCACCTGAGGCAACTACTTATGAGCGCTAAAGCAGATTAAGGAAAAAAAAGAACAAAAGAAGAAGACAGTGCCGCTATCGTCAACAGACGCCACACAACACTTCACATCCCGCAAGAGCAGGCATCTATTCTTTTCGCATGAAAACACAACTAATGCCGGTTGAAGAAACCATGGGCACGACCGCTCACCTCACAGAGCAGTTCAGAGGCACACAGATAGATTGCAACCAGCCACCTCTCACAGCAATTCACAGCCACACAGATCCATGACAAACCAACCGCTCAGCCTCTCTCAGAACACCAAACTCACAGCCACACAGATCACGACCAGTCAAGTTAATTCACAGCCGCACAGATGCCAACCATCATCACTGCTTAACAAAGGTTCACAGTCACAGAGACAGATCACAACAAGTCACCTGTCACACTCCTTCACAGCCGTACAGATCGCAACCAGCCATCACTCACAGCGATTCCACAGCCGCGCAGATCGCAACCAGCCACCTCTCACAGCAATTCACAGCCACGCAGATCCATGACTAACCAACCGCTCAGCCTCTCAGAACACCAAACTCACAGCCGCACAGATCACAACCACGCACAGGAATTCATCGCCATACAGATCACAACCATGCACAGGAATTCATCGCCACACAGATCGCAACCGGTCACCACTAACAGAGATTCACAGCCACAGAGACGGACCGCAACCAGTCACCTGTCACACCCATTCACGGCCGCACAGATCGCAACCAGCCATCTCTTACAGCAATTCACAGCCACACAGATTGCAACCAGCCACCTCTCACAGCAATTCACAGCCACACTAATCCTGACAAACCAACCGCTCAGCCTCTCAGAACACCAAACTCACAGCCACACAGATCTCAAGTCTTCTCAACCAGTTACATCAATTCATCGCCGCACAGATCACAACCAGTCACCACTAACAGAGATTTACAGCCACTGGGCCAGACTGCGACCAGTCACACCACTCACAGTCATTCACAGCCGCACAGATCCTAACGAACAACCCACTCAACCTCTCACAGCGATTCACAGCCACACAGATAACGACCGGTCACCTCCACGAGCAGGTCACAGCCGCACAGATGGCAGTCGGGCGCCACTCATAGCAATTTGCAGCGACCCGAAAATTACGGCAGCCGAGGTCACCTGTCTGTCACAGTCATTCACAGCAACACAAAATCAGACCAACCAGTCCACCTCTCACAGCAGTTCGCAGCCATACAGGTCGCGGCAAATGACTCCGACCGCATCTTTTGCTACTCCGAAAGAGCTTCACAATCACAGAACTTGACAGGGCACAAAGAAAACTGCACCTGGTGAAAAACCAGTCCATACCGGAATGGACGCTACGCTTGGTCTCTAGGACTCGCCCTCTTGCCGGTGAACTAACACAATCCTCTCCCCACGATTGATCAACTGAAATCTGAAGAAACTACCATTCTAGCCAGCCCTCACATGCCCTCGTTCATTTACTCTATAAACTTGGGGGATCTTCCAGTGTCGCCGTGGCAAGGTCCGCGATCCTCGGATAAATGACGTTCTTTGCGTCTAGCTCCTTCTGCACCCAGACAAGCATCTTTAAAAGGCTCGGTAGCCTCGGATCTGTACCCATGGAAACGAACAACAACACGCCCACAACACGAAAAACAGAGTTCAGCACCACCATAACACAAATCTCTCCACTTCAATTCAACCAATCCCCATCCCTTGCGTCTTTCCCTTCACATCGAGTACGGTAGCCTCGGATCTGTACCCATGGAAACGAACAACAACACGCCCACAACACGAAAAACACAGTTCAGCACCACCATAACACAAATCTCTCCACTTCGATTCAAGCAATCCCCATCCCTTGCGTCTTTCCCTTCACATCAAGTACTCTACTGCCACCGCTCTCCCGTGTCTAGCAATTCGGTAGAGATGTCTGAAATCAAGTTCCAACTTTACAACAAGTGATGTGCAGTTCTCTCTGCAGACGGTGCAGTTCTGTCCGCTGAAGCACAGAAGAGATTGTCAACAGCATTAATTTATTTTGGACTACAACAGAAAACCGAAACACAGCAGCGCAACCCAACCACACGCAAACTAACAATAACCTCATCTCTGTGTGAGATGTGCATCTCTGCATGCGAGGAATACCCATTCATACATGACGCTTGGAAAAGCCGCTATACTGCACGTGTCGGGGATGCACCTTCGACGGGTGGGTTACGGGGTCCAGCCTGACGACGATTAGAAAAATGTCTTCAGAGTAACCCTTCAGTCGTGGATGCAAACTTCAGGCACTCCAGGTTCCAAGTACACCCCCCCTCGGCCCACCCCGCGCCGCACACCCCCCCAAATCCCTCCCAACCAACGCCCCTGAGTTCCACTTAAAACCACCACAGACCCAACCGGCAGACCACCCACTTGCACTCACGGCAAGCAACTCATGAAAAGCGGTCTGACATGCCAGTCGGAGCAAGATCACAACTCATTCAACTGAGCTGTTATCAAGGAAAGAAACACCTCTGCACATGGTCGTAAACCTGCGGAAGACGGTTCCGAACCCACCTAGCCACACGGTCCTCAGCCTGCAGGAGGTGGTCCCAAACCCAACGCTGCATGGTCCCAAATCCTCAGCAGGTGGTCCTAAACCTGGAGGACCAGGCGGTCCCAAGCCCAGCGCTGCATGGTCCTAAACCTGCAGGAGGTGGTCCCAAACCCACCGCTGCATGGTCCCAAACTTGCAGGAGGTGGTCCCAAACCCTCCGCTACATGGCCCCATACCTGCAGGAGGTGGTCCTAAACCCACTGCTGCATCATCCCAAACTTGCAGGAGATGGTCCAAAAGTCATCACAGCATGGTCCCAAACCTGCACGAGGTGGTCCCAAACCCACTGCTGCATGGTCCCAAACCTGCAGGAGGGGGTCGCAAACCCACCGCTGCATCGTCCAAACCTGCAGGAGGTGGTCCCAAACTCACCGCAGCATGGTCCCAAACCTGGACGCGCTGGTCCCAAACCTGGACACGCTGGTCCCAAACCCACTGCTGCATGATCCCAAATCTGCAGGAGGTGTTCCCAAACCCAGTGCTGCGCTGCATGGTCCCAAACCTGCACGAGGTGGTCCCAAACTCACCGCTGCATGGTCCCAATCATACACGAGGTGGTCCCAAACCCAAGGCTGCACTGTATGGTCCAAAACCTGCAGGACGTGGTACCAAACTCACTGCTGCATGGTCCCAAACATGAAGGACGTGGTCCCAAACCCACTGCGCCATGGTCCTAAACCTGCACTAGGTAGTCCCAAACCCACTGCTGCACTTAATGGTCCCAAACCTCCAGGAGGTGGTCCCAAACCCACCAGTGCATGGTCCCAACCCTATATCCATCAGCATTCTACTCTGAGGGGCATTGGGAGGATACACAAACCTGTGTAGCACACTGAACATGTTCGGAGCTTTTCCGAACGTCCGAACATGTTCGGGTGTTCGACCGAACGCCCCCCGAACGTGTTCGGCCGAACATATTTAAAAATAAAAAAAATAAAAAATAAAAAACTTTTTTTTTGGATTTTGATTTTTAACTCGAGTTTGGTACCGAATTTGAACATAACCCCAAGGCAAGAGTTGTTTGTTTTATTATTTTACATAACAATGATAACATATATTTTTTCATATTTTTTAACATTTTTCTGAGAACTTTTTTTTTTTTTTTTTTTTTTTTAATATGTTCACGTTCGGGGGGTTTTGGCGCTCGTTCGCATTCGGTCGCGAACGTTCAGGTTCGGTCACCGAACCCGAACACGATGCTACACAGACACAAACCTCTCTCATGGCTCTGACTTGTCAGAATTGCTGCATTCAGTTCACTCGCTGTCCTCTGCCTCTGTGATATGTCCAGCAGATCACCAACGGGACAAGACGACGTGTCTTCAAATGCCAGCAAGGCCACCGTGCGCTCCAGCTCTTCCAGAAATTGTTTCTGTGAACACACACACAATGCATCCCACCCCAGGTCATTTCAATTATTTCCTCGGCCCAAACAAATATACAGGACGTCATGTACGACCATGTACCTTCAATTTCACTCACAGGGTCATTCATGTCCCCATACAGGTACCAGGAAAGCAGCGGTACTGCTGCATCGCACAGAGCGAGGAATGAAGCATGTAGCCTGCATTAGGTCTTAAACCCCTGAACTGTTGACATACAGACCTGCGTTCCGACTCCACTGAGAGCAGTTGAGTAAAATACTACAATTCATTCACAGAGAGAGGGGAAAAAAAAAAAAAACAAAAAAAAAAACGACATTCCACAGAGTCGCAGACCTTGCACCGCTCTACCCCTCTTATAGCTTCTTGCTGCCACTCAAGGTCACTGCCACAGACAGAGTCACATCAAAGCCTGACGCATAGAAGACATGCAACGCTGTGTAACTGTCTACGGTGTGGTCTCACGAAGAGCGGCTCAGCGAAACAGAAAACCTACTTGAGAGCTACTACCCTCTTCCCCCAAATACCCTGCACCATTATTATAGCTGTATATAAACTGAAACTTGTCCCCAAACACCAACTGGCCTAGCCTAGCTCAGTTGTTACACCCCTGAACTGTTGAAATACAGACCTGCTTTCGAACTCCGCCGGATGCAGACGAGTACAAAAATTTAACAATTCTGAAATACCTAGGGCCGGCCAGTTCGATGACAATATCTCAAGGACGTCGCCCTTTCAACAACAACAAAAAAAAAGAAAAAGAAAAAAAAAAAGAGGGCAAAAGGAAAAAGATAAGACAGAAACTTGTCCTCCAATGCAGCTACAATGACTGTGTGTTCTATTCGAGCGAAGATGACAGTCAGTCTTACATACACAAGGTGAGAGCAGCAACAGGAGCAGATCCAGACTTACGTTCTCCTCCCCACGAGGCGCCAACTCCTCCTGCGCGAACTCCAGGGCCTCCTGGATCTTTTGATTGCGGATAAGCTCGATCAGCCTCTGCTGTTGCAAGTGGAAAAATAATTGGGGATTCGTGTCCAATATCTGCCAAGAAACAGCAGCACATCCATAAACAATCATCCCCAACTCCTTGCCGTCACACTCCCATAAACAGTACATCGATAAACGCATATACTAGTTCATTGCAATGAGACCACCATACACGGAACACTTGAACACACGTCTCGCATCACATCACACACACATGAGACACGCAGGATGTACAAAGTCCAAAAATAGCTTCAGTAGCCAACACCAAACTTAGTCCTCTTCTTCGTCACGTCCAGCTATGGCCGCCCAACTCGACATGCAAGTAAGCCTCTCTCTCTCTCTCTCTCTCTCTCTCTCTCTCTCTCTCTCTCTCTCTCTCTCTCTCTCTCTCGCTCTCGCTCTCGCTCTCGCTCTCGCTCGCTCGCTCTCGCTCTTGCATACTACAGCGATGGCTGTGGCGCCCAGTGCTTGTTGACTACACGGCTCACTCTCACTCGCTCAGTCGCCTCTCCAACGCGCAAGACAGCAGCAGCGCTTCCTCATCGAGTGCGAAGCTTATGTGTTAACCTCCCAAGTGTTGCTGGACTTTTGTACTTGCTGATCCGCCTTCCAGACTTCTTCTGCTGGTTAAGTGCTGGTTCCCTTGCCTTTGATTGCTGCTTCCGTAAGGTTACGGATTATCCTTGGATCCGGGTTGGTTGCACTGACTGACACTTGGCCGAACGACTTTCGTTATCTTGCGCGAAGCTTGTGGTGCCTTCTTAGAAATGGAAATCTCTCAACCCATAACCTCTATCCACCTGGGACTTCCTACCACGATACACTCAACTAACCTGCCGAGGCATCTGTAATCATGGAACAGACGAAAACCGCTCTTCTGGGCAAATACGGACCTGGTAGCAAGTGAAGAAAAAAAGAAGAAAAAAAGAAAAAGAGCGGAAGATTGCCAAAGGGTGAAGGAAGCCGCAAACGACAAAAGGTGGGCCAATAAAATAAATAGTAAATGCCCTCTCTTCATCCTCCTTGTCCTCTCTACAGGTGGCTTTCATTGATGAAGGATGACCCATCACCTCCTTTCCGTCCTCCTCCTGTACAGCTAATGCCAGAAGTGTGTGAGAGAGAGAGAGAGAGAGTATGTTTTCCATCAATGCCAGGATCAAATCGAACACGCAGACGGAAGATTGCAGTACATAGTCTGTGCTGTAGAATCCCATAGTCACATACTTCGACATCCCAACCAGGTCCTTCGGGACAACCGTTAAAATTGGAACGATACAGAGAAGATTAGCATGGCCCCTGCGCAAGGATGACACACATAAATCGAGAAATGGTCCAGATTTATTTTTAAAAACATTTTTAAAAATCCAACCAGTCAAATAACTCCCTTCACAACCCCCTCGCCTCCCCCCCTCCCCCCCTCCATGGTATGGTGTAGCAAGCGTCACCTACCTAGCAAGGGTTTTGGCATCACACGCGGAGCTCTAGAAATTATTACGATGCACATTTGCACAACAGTTTCAACTCTCCAAAATATGGTTGGTGGGCCAGTTGCGTAAACGCAAACGACAGCATGAAAGATTACGCACCTCTGGGTTCAAGTCATTAACCCTGTAGATTGCATCCTCTACATTGCCAGACTGAACAGCTCTGCGCACAGTCATCCTGTCCGTGATTGTCGCCAAATCGATTTCTGCTGTGACTAGCTAAGGAAACCACAGGCAATAACAGGGTGACGGGTAGCCAAGCCAGCTTCCCAGCCCATGTGGCTGAAGGGTACACGAGTACAAATCATGGTGAACGAAATCAGATGAGTAAAATATTGTTCGGCGCTACCCAGTGCTCCCTTTTAAATAAATGAATAAATAAATCTATTAAATCATTGAGAAAAAAAAAAATGCAAGGAAGAATGAAATGGCAGTACTAGAGGGAGGGAGAAGAGGGGGAGGGGGAAGGGAAAAGGGGGGAGGGGGAAGGGGGAAGGGGGACAGGCAAGAGCCAGGAAGCGGCGCGGGGATGGACAAAGTAAGCGGAACTGGAGTGAGACCAGGGTTACGGGATATGGCTAAGCAAAGAAAGCCAGAAATTATCAGTCTTCTGGCGAAGAGGAGCTCTCTGCCTGGCTTGAAAGGAAACAAGTTCAAACAACACTTGGTTGTTCGTTTTAAACCACCACTACCTCCAGGCCTCTTTTTGTCGAGGCGGAAAAGAACTGAGCGCCAAGCTTTGCGGAAGCGCCAGCTCAACTTTGTTTTTGTATTGGCTGGCGCCACCAGCCATTTTGGTCCGGTGGCGTCCAACATCGGAAGAATGCGGTATAGGTTATATTGCATTCCTACGAGGTCTTGAGTTTGCCTGTGAAAGGTAGTGGTGGTCTAACAGAAAAAAGGAATATGGTCAGAGTAGCCACGCCAACGGTCGGCCCCCCTGGTCGGCAGCGACCAGCTGACCGTTCCACTGGTCAGCACCTACCAGTCACAGGTCAGTCGGGAAAAGGGGTCCAGATCCCCCAATAACCCCACCAACACACCCATATCCCCCTATAACCCTCCTTTACCCCCCCCTATAACCCCCCCTTTAACCCCCCCTATCCCCCTATGGCCCCTTCGCAAGGATGACAAACATAATCCGAGAAATGGTCCAAATTGGAAAAAACAAAAAACAAAAAAAAACAAAAAAAACACAAAAAAGGGTGAATGAAACCGTCTTCGGAACCAAACAAGTAAGCCTCCGCCAGATGGTTATGTCGAAGCAGACTGTGCTACTTGAACATCAAATCTAGGCCCCAGCCCTTGCAGACTTCCTTGCCGCATAGTCCAGCACGCACTGCACAGTGGGGTGATTCTTTCGTTAGGGCTTTCCCAGACTACAAATAAAAACAAAAAGAACCCGCCAGTGCTCAGGTAAGCCAAAAGCCAGTGTAGCACACCAAAAAATATCACACACAAAAAAATAAGACATGATATAAAATCTGGAAAACTTTCCGAAAAAGACTTCAAAGTTTGGAAAACGTTGGTTTCCCATTTCTACGAATTCAGGAAATAGTACCGGAGACGATTCCGCGCCATCGTCCAGGCCAAACATTGCTTGATTTTTTTCTTTTTAACCATAGCCTCCTGACGAGTCCGTGAAACTCCCACCAAACAGTCTTCCACAGACCCCCATGTAATCCCTTTATCCATTTTTTACTGGGGTATGACGACATACATACGACTTCGGTAGGTCACCGCTACGGTTTTCTATGGTCAAGTTGACCAGCAGCGGTCAGGGCCATCACTACGCAACCATGCTCTGCCTCTACGGCCACCAGCGTGTCTGACATATATTTTTGGGCTGTGACAGACCTTAATTTGTTTCAGCGGGTGGGTTCCTGGCTTACGATGGGGTGTGAGCTTGCAGTCTGTTGAGTTTTCTGTCCAGTGTGGGTGAACGATAGTCTGCTTTGATTTTCGTCTCAGGTACCCTTGAGGGCAGTGGTTGGTTGTCCCCACCTCCTCGGAGGGGTATCAGCCGTAGAGGGGCAGTCGATGACACTCAACCGTAACCAGGGTTAAGGTGGATTACCACTTTCAGTATCATCGGTTAGGGGACTCTGCAGACTGTGGAGGGTTCAGCATCGCAATGGGTCAGCGAAAGTCCGGCAAAAACAGTCTGTCACAGTCCCAGGTACCCTTGAGGGCAGTGGTTGGTGGTCCCCACCTCCTCGGAGGGGTATCAGTTGTAGAGGGGCAGTTGTTGACGCTCAACCGCAACCAAGGTTAAACCACCAGTACCTCCGCCACTACGCGGCCCCAGGGTGTTAACGTTAACGCGCCGCGACTTTCGGGAGCCGGGGGCCGTTGAGATTTTTCATCAACGGTCTAAGTCGTGGTGACGGCCCAGCAGCCGCGTTGTGGCGGAGGAACTAGTGGTTTAAGGTGGATTATCACTTTCAGTCAAGGTTGCACCCCTGCCGACCGCCGACCCCGACCGCCGACCGTATTGCAGCCGACCAGTAGGGCCGACCAGTCAAAAAACAACCATCC